GGGGACTGTCCTGTTTCAACTGGGGAGAGGAGAAGATTGTGATCTTAGAGGTCTTGGCGATTCGGACCAGGGCTAAAGCACTGAGAAAGCTTTCCAAAATGCAGATGTCTGGCTCCACTTCGGAGAGTCAGTGTGTGGAGTTTGGCCTGGGTGTGTGCATTTTTACAGTCTTCCACATGTGATTTTGATGTGCACACTCCAAATAAAGAGCCAAAGTTAAAGGGAAGGACTCCAAGGATGGAACCATAACTGGATCCCTGCTGCCTAGGCCCAACTGCCCATTCAAGGATGGCTCTTCAGGTTTGGTATCAGTGGAGATGCGGGTGGAGGATGGAAGAGGGGCAGGAGACTTCAGCATCTCCAGGCTTTTGGATTTATATCTCTTTTCCTCCACAATAAACCTTATCTTGCGATCCTTCCCCACATTTATTCTAGTAGCTTCTAATCATGTCCTCTATTGAAACTTCAATTCAGAGAACATTCATGGCTGTCTAATCTTCTATGTGTAAAGCTCTATGGATGGTGGGACATGAATAAAAGGCTCTCAGAGTTGGGAGAATTTGAAAGTTCTAGTCCAAACTCTGTGAGGCATTGGTGGTTAAGTGGTAGAATTCCCACCTTCCATACCGGAGACCTGGGTTCGATTTCAGGCCAATGTACTTCATGTGCTGCCACTGTCTGTCAGTGGAGGCTTGTGTGTTGCTATGATGCTGAACAGCTTTCAGTGGAACTTCCAGACTAAGATGGACTAGGAAGCAAACCCTGGTGATCTACATACTTCTGAAAATCAACCAGTGAAAACCCTGTGGATCACAACAATCTGATCCCCAACTGATAATGAGGATGGTGCAGGACCAGGTAGTGCTTTGTTCTGTTGTGCATGGGGTTGCCATGAGTTGGAGGCCAACTCAGTGACAGCTAACAACAACCAAGTCCAAACTCTGCCTAACATAGGATTCTGCCTATGGTGAACCCATGGATGGCTGGTAAGCAGGCCTTGGTCTCAGTACTTCTAGGGACAGGAGCTTGGCCTCTCTAGGCAGTCCTTTCCCATTCTGATGGGCTTTAATCATCAGAACAATTTAATCATGTGAACAATTTTGGCCTTGAGGCACCCAACACAAAATCAGCAATCGAATCAATTTTATTATTCATGATATGGCTTACTGATGGGTGTACCCACCATCTGTGGCTTCCTATTTAAACTAATTGTTCTTGCTGCCTAGGTACTAAACTATGCCAACAATGACATTTTAAGTTGCTCCATCTTTTAAAGTGATTTTAGTGCTTTGGGGGACATTACCTTAGTTACTAACTAGAAACGGAGAACCCCTTTTCCTTTAGCATCTAAACAAACTATTCTCTCTATTCCCCCACCCCTATGCTGATCTAAAAAGCCTTGCTTTGTGTGGCTAACTTATGCTTCTGTGGTGTTACGGCTTTATGGAGCGATAATTCACATATCATACAATTCAGCCATTTAAAGTGTACAATTCAGAGCTGTGCAACTCTCATTACTAAATTTTAGAACTTTTTATCACCCCAAAAAGAAACCTCATACCCTTTAGCAGTCATCCCCATCCCCCATGCCTAGGCCACCACTAATCTACTTTCCGTCTCTATGGTTTGCCTGTTCTGGAGATGCCATATAGATGGAATAATAGAATATTTGTGCTTTTGTGACTGGCTTCCTTCGCTTAGCAAAGTGTTTTCAGGGCTCATCCATTTTACAGTTTGTGTCACTACATCATCCTTCTTTGCTGAGAATAATCCCCCATTGTATGGCTGTACCATGTTTTGTTTTCCCATTCATCATCTGGTGGGCATTTGAATAATGCTGCTACAATGTGGCGTCTTTACGTCATCAGTCTTGATCTCTGAAAAGAACTTGTTCAGATTATCTTTCCTGATAATGGTGGCTGATGCAGTGATAACTTCACCCACCCCAGCTCGGCCCCAGCCTTGAGGCTTCAGGGCCTCCTGCAGCCATTCTGCACCATGGAGGGGCTGGCCCCTACTCTTGACCTGCAGGGAACAAACGTCTCCTCCTTCCCTGTCTGGCTCTCCAGGCAAGGTGGTTTGGGGCGGGTTGTCCGGGTTGGGCCCAGTCACCGCAGACACTTTCCCTTTTGTTGGGCGTGCAGTGGCGCAGATTACAGTGGCCAGAGACAGGCTCACAAGGAGCTGTACCTGCGGCTGCCCCAATCCGGTTTTTGCTTCCCTCACCACTTGGCCCTAGTCCAAGGTGCCTTCCCCTTGTGCCTCCACCTGTGGAATCCCAGGCAGGGGACATCAGAGAAGACAGCTCTGCTCGCTTCACACTGAGACTGGGGGAAGGGCTGCCTGGGTCTCTGGGCACTCAGGAGCTGACACCCCCATCCAATGACTTTTGGCCTTGGGTTGCTCTGGGCTGCCCCAGCAAAGAGGGGTTCTCTCTGGGTGAGAGCTGCACCAGCCCTCCAGCCTGCAAGCCACATGGTCCCTTGCAGCCCCCTTGTCCTTGCCTTGGCCAAGAGACATTCCTACAACCAGGGAGCCAGGTGGGTGGGGGTGGAGGGGGCCTGGGTTTCAGGAAGGGACTCTGGGTTGCTGTTTTGTGCTCCTCAGGCTGCCAAAGCCAGGAGTTCAGGAATAGGCCCTCCCCTCCGAACCCCCCAGACCCCTCTGACAATAGGGTGGAGGAGGGGAAAGAGGGGGCACTTGTCCTCTCTCCCCAGGGCTGCCATACCTGTCTGACCAGCCCCTCCCTCTCTCTTCCGCCTTCTCTGTCCCTGGCTTGGCACTGGGCCCCTCCCCTCCTCCCTTTGGTCACTGGAATGAGAAGTGTCTCAGTGTTGCTGGGTGTGAGTGTTTGTTGGGGAGGGGGTGCCAAACATTTGGGAGAATTAAAACCAAACCAAACCCATTGCTGTCAAGTCGATTCAGACTCATAACGACCCTATGGGATAGAGTAGAACTGCCTCATAGGGTTTCCAAGGCTGTAATCTTTATGGAAGCAGACTGCCACATTTTTTCTCCTGCAGAGTGGCTGGTGGGTTCGAATTCTGGCATTTCGTTTAGCAGCTGAGCACTTAGCCATTGCATCACCAGGGCTCCTTTGGAGAAAATTAAGCATTGTTTACAGGATCTGGGAGAGGGCTTGGTGTAAATAGGTGCTAACTGGATTCCCTCTGCCTGGTTCAGCACACTCTGGAGGTCCCAGCCTGAAGACGGGTGGGGAGAGGAAAAAGGAACGAGGAAAGAGGGTGTGACCTTGGGGTCCTCTCTGGGAGTCTCTGGATTTATCTTTTTGGAAGAGACTTCAAAGTGTGTCCGTTTATGTGTGTGTGTATGAGCTTGTCTGTGTGTCTGTCTCTTAGGATTTGTCTGTTCGCCAGAGAGAGGGGACTGTCTGGCAATGGACTGTCCCTCTGGGTAGGGGTTTATGTGCCCATCCTTTGGGAGCCTGGGTGTCTCTCCTGGAGAAGGATTGGGAGGAACCCGTAAATTTGCCCTCCTAGTAGGTAGTCACCCCCTTCCTTGAGTTGGGAGCTATGTGTTGCCTGTACCTCTCTTTCTCCTCCAGTGGATCTGGGTTTCTGTCATCTGTTAGTCCCTTGGGTTAAATTTCATCCAGTTCCCACCTCATGCCCTGCAGTACCTTTCAGAGAATCCAGCCCCAGCCACAAGGTAATTGCAGCTGGAATGTCTGCCTCGGGGACCCAAACCTCCTGCCTTTGGCCCACAGCCTGCACCCATGGTTGCCCCACCCAGCCCCACCCGGGCCCTGGGTGCCTTGCTCAGCTCCCCATTCTCTAACTTCCTACAGGTGTGTGCTGTGCCCCAACCTGCTTTCCTGACTCACTCTAATAATGGGTTCAGGGAGACAGGTGCAGGGACTCTTTCCTCCATCTCCTCTGGCCAGTTGGGGGCCTAGGAAGAGAAGGAGGGTCCAGGTGGCTGCAGACTTGCTCACCATCAGTGTCGGGCGCCACCCCACTCCACTCCACCCCACTCTACATTGTCCTTTCTCACTCCCGGTGATTCAGTCACTGGGAGCTATGAGAATGACTCCCCCAAGCCAGAACGAGAACAATGAAGACCCCTGCCCCAGCTCCTCCTTCCCCTGTTCTTCCCCAATCCCTCCCTGCCCTTTTAGCCCCTGTTCTTTGTTCTCTGTTCCCTTCAGCAAGGTTTACAGTGCTAGGTTTGGATAGAGGATCCTGGGACCATGGAAGGAGAGGAGGGCACTCGGTTATGTCCATGGAAAGTGTCATCTTTGATCTCACTTTATCTTGCACGTACAGACCGAAAGGGAAGATAGCCAGAGTGTGTGTGTTTTCGTTCCACAAATATTTACCAGGCCCCTCTTGGCGACCTGGCACAATACCAGGTGCTGAGGGTACAGCAGTAACTGAGGAGAGACAGAGGCAAATGGCTGACCTCAGGTTCAAAGTTTCAGAGCCCAGGTGCCCTGTGATCTAGCTGGGAAGACCCCCATAATCCCTTAAAGGGGGAGAAAAACACTGAGGTTTCTTGTGGGGTGTCAGTGCTCAGAGGAGACCCAGATGCCAGGGGTCCCTTTCCTGCTATGCTTCCCAGTTCTCCAGTTTATCTCCCACAAGAGGGAAGGAGACAAGACCCAGGAGTCAGGATTCCAGTGGCTGAGGGGTCCAGAGCAAGTCTCCTTGATACAGGGAGCTCTCCTGCATGGCTGCCCGGGCACATTCCTTCCAGTTTCACATTCACTGAATTGCTGGATCCTGGGTTTCTGGGGCGGTGCTGGAGTGGGCCCCTGGGTGGGAGCAGCTCTCTGCTGCCCCCACCTGAGTCCTGCCTGGAGGTGGCAGGTGGCAGGTTAGGCCCGGCCCCCTCAGGGTGTAGCCACTCAGGTACAAGGCCGCACCCCCGCCCTTGGGCTGGGTTCTCTTTTATAAGGGCCATTGCTGGGAGCTGTCCTCCACCTAGAAGCAGCTTTTTGGCTCCTTCTCAAATCTCTGTCTTGTTCCGCTGCTGCCTCCTCTCCAGCCTTCACCATGTCCATCAGGATGACCCAGAAGACCTACAAGGTGTCTGCCTCTGGCCCTCGGGCCTTCAGCAGCCGCTCTTACTCGAGCGTGCCCTGCGCCCGTACCAGCTCCTCGTCCTTCTCCCGGGTGGGCAGCAGCAGCGGCTACCGGTGCGGCCTGGGCCCCAGCGTGGGCCTGGGTGGGGGCTTCTGCGGGGCAGGAGGTAGTGGGGGCATCACGGCCGTCACTGTGAACCAGAGCCTGCTGAGCCCCCTTAAGCTGGAGGTGGACCCCAACATCCAGGCCGTGCGTACCCAGGAGAAGGAGCAGATCAAGAACCTCAACAACAAGTTTGCCTCCTTCATCGACAAGGTGAGGGTCCCCCCTGCATGGTTGGCTCTGCCTGCCACCCTGTGAGGGTCTGCACCCTCTCTCCTGGCCACCCTGTTGGTGGGCACATCTTTAGTCCCTCAACTGGCGTCCTGCTGGCCCCACTCACCCTGCAACACTCCCTTCCAACCTATGACTCACTTCTCCCTTGCACTTCGGTTGGGCTGAGGCAGGGATGGGGAGAAGGTCCGGGATGGCTTGTGACTGAATTCTGGGGCTTCCTCCCTCCCTCAAACTACCCCCCAAGTCGAGGTCTGAGTTTTTAAGCTGTGGGGTGAGAGAAGAGGCCCCTCCTCCAGGTTCACCCGTCTCCCCTAACACTGCTCCACTGGATCCTTAGTGGTGCCCGGTGCTATTTTTTTTTTTTTTTTAAATTGGGGTTTGATAGGATTCTAGGAGAAGGAAGAGGGTGTCTTGACTTAAATGGGAAAATACTGATTAAGGCTTTTGGCGCCCCAGGGCCTGAGTGTGGGGGCCACAAAGATGAGTCATAGCTTGGCCCGGGTCCTGGGAGCCAGAGGTGGGGGGCGGGGCTGGGAGAGGCAGAGACACTCTCCCTACCGTAGGGTGAAGGGCTGAGGTCCGCCCGCTTTGGGACGCTCTCCGTCCGGCTGTCGGAGCAACTAGCGCCTGGGGGTGGGTGTGTATCAAGGGTCCGGTGGCATGGGGGTGGTGGTTGGGGAAACGCCAGGGCCTGGCTTCAGAAAAGCCCCCATCCGGGATTCAAAGTCTTCGGGCGTTGTACAAACCACCCGGGTTGCAGGGCCTGTTAAGGCGTTGAGTTTATGACTTCAGATAACGCGTCCAGTCAACGCCCCTCTTCCCGCTGAGCCCTCGCACCTTTCACTCTTCCCTACCCAGCTCCGCTCCAGCGGCCTGGCTCCACTTTCCCAGGAAAGCAGCCAGGCCGGGTTTTGCAGCTCTAGGGGGCCCCCTAGGGGCCCCAGCGGGCTGGCGGGCGAGCAGGAGGATTGGGCTCCTCCCTGCTGACTAGCTTCTGGGAGGCATTGTGGGAAAGGAAGGAGAGAAATCCTGGGGCAGATCAGAGCCCTTAGGAATTGGAGTCCCCCAGGAAACACAATTTCTCTCGTTCTTTAGAAAAAGATTGCGGGTTCCTTGCCTCTTTCTAAGCATTCTCGATTTTACATCTGAAGTGCGCTGTGCCAGCTCTGGGGTTCTTACAGTCAGTAGTTAAGTACACACGTGGTTCCCCTGTTTCCTACCTGGTTACCCTGCTAAGTCTGATTTTTCTCGCCTATAAAGTGGGCATAATAGTCCCTAGATCAAAGCGTTTTTGCCTATTCAACGATAAAATGTGTGTAAAGTGTTTAGTAGTCTTGGCTCATATTACATAGTTGCTAGGGCTAGCTGTTTTAATCACTATCATTTTTATTATTAGGAGCACAGAATGACCTGGAGAAGAGAAAGACTTAGAGACAGGGAGTTTTGGGTTCTAGACTATACCCTTAAGACATCCTTCTCTTCCAAGTCCATCCAATTAAAAAAAAATTACAATTTTGGGTTGGTTAAAACAGAAACAAAACATTCTCCATCTTGAAACTAGTCTATTGTTCTTTCTTTTATAAATTTCCCATCTAATATGCTCTAATTTCGTCCTAAAATTTGGATTCTTTGAGCCCAAGGAACGCAGGACCTTTGTGTTTGGGGCAGGAGGGGAGGGTTATGGATTCAAGGGTAGGGCTGGGGTGGGAGACCCACTCCCAGGCCCTCTGCCTTTTGGACAGTCTTCAACAGATGCTGATGAATCTCAGAGAGAGTGCTGTGGGAAGGAGGGAGGAGCCTTCAGTTTGCAGACAGACCTTTCAGGCCTCTTACTTCTTCCCCAGCTAAGAGTGACTTCTATACAGAAATGGGGCTCCCAAAAGGGCCTGCTTGAGTTCCTCTAGGCCATTGCAGGGTTGAGGAGACCAGGCTCACGAAGGGGAAGCAACTCAAGGTCATGTAGCACAGGTTAGTAGCAGTGTTTGGCTAGGACCTAGGCCTACTGTCCAGTGCTCTTCGGACAAAGCTTTGGATAAAGCTTCCCTATAATCTCCATGAGTCCCTCAAAGTCACTCCAAATAATAATGATGATAATATTATTTGATATGAACAATCTACATTTTCTTTTTTAAGTCTTATATGAGTATAAATAAAAGCATCCTTACAAAACTTGGCTATTTTTCTTGATCTGTAATAGACAATGTAAATATTAAGACCTATTTGCTATGCAAACACAGCTTCAATGTAAGTCCCCTAACTGCCCCCTTCCAACCATGCTCCCCACCCATTCCAGCATTGGAGGGGCATGGCTCCCTACCCCTTCATCACGCGGTCTCCCTCATGTCATGGGTGATCCTCCCAAAACAGTTAACCAGGTTGCTGGATTCCAGGGACCTCATTGCTTGGGGAGTGGATTAGAGGAAGAGACAGAATTTACAGTCTCCAAGTGCTTGCTCTCTAAGCCCTGGCCTGATGTGGACCTGCTTGTTCCCTCCTTCCCTATGCAGGTGCGGTTCCTGGAGCAGCAGAACAAGATGCTGGAGACCAAGTGGAACCTTCTGCAGCAGCAGAAGACATCTCGGAGCAACATGGACTGCATATTTGAGAGCTACATCAACAACCTTAGGCGGCAGCTGGAGACGCTGGGCCAGGAGAAGCTGAAGCTGGAGGCAGAGCTGGGCAACATGCAGGGGCTGGTGGAGGACTTCAAGAATAAGTGAGCTACTCGCCCTCCCCCAACTGAGGTCATCCTGCATCGCCCCTTGGGACCAGAGGCTAAAGTCCCCATGGCCCTCTACTTCTGGGCAATGCAGTCCTATATAACTAGGGTGACCATATGACTGGGTTTGCTCGGGACAGTCTAGGTTTATGCCCGTTGTCGCAGAGTAATTGTTAATAGCATCCCTCTCAATATCAGAACTGCTTGTATTTGGACAATAAATTTTATGGTAATGTTTATATACTCAACATAAGATGGGAGAGACAGGTAGCCAACAGGCTCAATTTTATACTTACATCCCTGGCCCCTATTTATTCATGACCCCTGACCTCCAGCAAACCCCAGAAACTTCTCCCTGAGGTCTGTGTCAGTCTCTGCTTCTGACCTTCCCAATATATCCAGTGCAATGTGGATTCATGAATATATAGAGAGATTTCTTGCTCTAGGCCTCCCCATTGGCTGAGGATAGTATGGGGTGAGGACAGGGAGATGGTAACTGGCTGGGTCAGAAGAATCAGCCCTCTCATATCCTATATTCTCCATAAACGGAATTTTCTAGATATTCATGTCCCCCGTCCCTTTCAGGAAACCCAGGGAAGCCTCACATTTGCCGTCATCCTCTGATTCTAAGCTATTGTCTCAACAGGTATGAGGATGAGATCAATAAGCGAACAGAGTTGGAGAATGAATTTGTCCTCCTCAAGAAGGTGAGGGAGTACCCATATCCCCAACCAGACCCTGGAGGCTGGGGCTTAGAGACTCGGACTAAGAAGGCATTCTGAATTCTGTCCCTAAATGTTTCCAAGTAATGGGACAAATTCATTTATTTCAACATTTGAGTGCCTCCTAGGTACATAGCATAGAAAGGTAGAGAAGGACAGAAAGATAACTAGGTGCCTCTGGACAGAATTCCGGACATCGATATTGGGACATGGTTAATAAAATGGAGCAGTAAAATTGGAGCTCTGGCCATAAAAGGCTTCCTGGAGGGGAGGGTGTGTTTCAGCAAGCAGATGTGAAGGTGTTGGGCTAGGGCTGTAGGTACGATGGAGCAGAGGACTGGGTCCTAAGGTAGTTAGGGGTGGGGAAGACGATTAGCTAGAAGGTCCTGAAGTCTAGGCTATTTGGTCTACAATGAAGAGCCCCTGGGTTGGGGTTGGGTGTGGGCACTCAGCTCATGCTCCCTCTCACCCCCATTTCCTAGGATGTGGATGAAGCTTATATGAACAAGGTGGAGCTGGAGTCCCGCCTGGAAGGGCTGACTGACGAGATTAACTTCCTCAGGCAGCTGTATGAAGAGGTATGTTCATGGGGGCTGGGGAGTCAGTCCCTTTACCCTTGATCTTAGCATACCAACAGACAAGGGCCCACCATGAATAATCACAGCTACCAATACTAGCCCAGCATGGGTGCCTTACATGCTCTGTCCCCCTGTATGAGGGGGGTGATTGCCACGTCTCACAGATGAGGAAGCGGGCCCAGAGAAGAGAAACAACCTGTGCAGAGTCGTCATGCAGAAAGTGGTGACCCTGCTGCAAACTTAGGCCCACTCTGTCCCCAAAGCTGTTGTTCCTAATCTTTGGGCCACATTGGATTGCCCTGTGGGCTTAATATTGGTAGCTGAGAGGATGGATGGACTCTTCCCCTTTGGTTTCTCACCCAAAGCTAGGCTTTCTTTTATCCTTGCCTCATTTCATATTTAGCTCCCTCCATGTTTCAGGTCTTTTGACCCATCTTCCTTCTTTAGGAACTTTGCCTTCTTCCCAGCCCGAACTTTTACTTGCTTCTCTCCTGTGCTGCCCTGTCTTATCCTTTAGTTGCCCTGTCTTATCCCCTAAGGTAGGCCCTTCTGTAAAACGGGGTTCCTTGTAGGCAGGGACAGAGTCTCACCACTTTCTCTCCATGATAGGAGATCCGTGAGCTGCAGGCCCAGATCTCGGACACATCCGTGGTGCTGTCCATGGACAACAGCCGCTCCCTGGACATGGATGGCATCATTGAAGAGGTCAAGGCCCAGTACGAGGAGATCGCCAACCGCAGCCGGGCTGAGGCCGAGTGCATGTATCAGATCAAGGTGAAGAGCACCCCCACCCCACCCCCGGCCACACCTATGCTCTAGTCACAGGGAGAGAGCAGGATTTCAAACTCTGCTGAGCCTGCTGGGTGGATGCTGGATTCCCTGTGCCTGGAGGCCTAGAAGAAGGTCTTCAGTGGGGTGTGTGTGTGTGTGGAGATGGGGGGACAAGGTGACCTGGCAGAGCAGGCACTCTCTCTTGGGTGGAGGGCACCTTGGGCTCCAGGGGGCATCCCCTCAGGCCTCACTCCTTGTCTTTCACCACAGTATGAGGAGCTGCAGACACTGGCTGGGAAGCATGGGGATGACCTTCGTCGTACGAAGACTGAGATCTCCGAGATGAACCGGAATATTAACCGGCTCCAGGCTGAAATAGAAGCGCTCAAAGGCCAGGTATGGACTAAACTAGCCTGGGGGTGGGAAAGGATCCTTGGACACATCTGGGTGAGAGGAGATAATGTAGGGAAGAGTAAGGGGGCTGGGGGCCAGGGGCAGGAATCCCAGACCAGAGTTCGGGAGTTGGAGGTAAGAGTTACAGCGCAACTTCTCAGACTGTTCCTGGGAAGGTGACCAATGCTAAGGTGGTCCCTGGGGCCGTGACAGGGGTGGAAGGAGGTTGGGAAGGTAAGTTGAGGTCCAGAATGGGTCCCCCAACCCTGCTTTATTTTATCTGTCTTATATATCAGGGTGAGATTGGGTTATGATGCTTTAAGAAAGTCTAGAAACCAGAGATTTAATCCAGTTAGGGTGCGGGATGATGCCGTATAGTGTCATAGGTGAGAACTTTGTGAGGGGAAGTGCCTGGAAGCCTCCATAGTTCTCCATTCTCACTCTGCTTCCTGAGTCTTACTTCCCACATTTTCTTTGAGCTGGGTGGGGTTAGTTAGTCTGGGTCAGAGAAGGACCCTAAAGAAGAGGGAATGGGCACAGGGGGAAGAGGCACATCAGATATCCTCCTACCTGCTTACCTGTCCCCCTACCCCCACAGAGGGCTTCCCTGGAAGCTGCCATCGCTGATGCTGAGCAGCGTGGAGAGCTAGCCATTAAGGATGCCAACAGCAAGCTGGCCGAGCTGGAGGCTGCTCTGCAGCGAGCCAAGCAGGACATGGCGCGGCAGCTGCGTGAGTACCAGGAGCTGATGAACGTCAAGCTGGCCCTGGACATCGAGATCGCCACCTACCGCAAGCTGCTGGAGGGCGAGGAGAACCGGTGAGTATGGGGGTCTCTGATGCTGGCCCTGGTGCCCCATGCCTGGGACCTGGGGCAGGTAGGGATGGGTGCTGTCCCCTTGGAATTTGGGTCCTGTTGTCCTGGGACAAGAAGGACTAGGAGTTTGTCCTGATGTCCCATGTGTCTTCTGGGTACAGGCTGGAGTGTGGGATGCAGAATGTGAGCATCCATACAAAGACCACAAGTGGCTACTCCGGTGAGTGTCCTGGGCCCTGCAGGATGGAGGTGGGAGGGCAGGGCCTGTATCTGTCCTCCCGGGGATTTCTCCATAAGGGAGGCATGTTCTGGGGGTGCTGCTAAGTTGTTTGTCCAGTGACCTTATCTTGAGCTCTTGGCAGTTGAGGAGGGCGTCCACGAGAAGGAGCAGGATCCTTGTTCTTGGAAATCCCAGGGTAATGGGGGACATACCCAGGACTCAAATCATATAGTTAACAATAGAAAGCACCCAAATAGATGGTAGCTCTATGCCAGGCACAGTGCTAAGTGCTTTACATGGTTCATTTTATTTACTATTTATACAGTCCCTGTAAATTTTCCTGTTTTACAGAAGAGGAAGCTGAGGTCCAATTAAATGACTTGCCCAAGGTCACATAGCTAATACTGAAGCACTTTCCCACACTGCTCCTGGTCCCCCCTCTCCCCCCAACCCCCAACACACACATTCTGGAGCAGTGAACCTAGCAAACCTGGGCTAGATTCCCCATCCCTGAGGGCAGTGTACGGAGTGAGCAGAGAGAAGGGCATGGGACCTGGTGTGGGGAGGAACACCTATGCTCATGTGGCTGCCTCTGTCCCTGATCAGGTGGGCTGAGCTCGGCCTGTGGGGGCCTCATAAGCCCTGGCCTCAACTGCAGCCTGAGCTCCTTCCAGTCCAGCTTCAGCTCTGGTGGAAGCAGCGGCTCCTTCATCCGCACCGGTTCCCCGAACGCCGTGATTGTGAGGAAGATTGAGACCCGTGATGGGAAGCTGGTGTCTGAGTCTTCTGATGTCCTGCCCAAGTGAATGGCCACTGTGGCCCCTCCCAGCCTACACCTGCCCCTGGCTGCTCTGGAGATTTCTGGCAAGGAGCTGTGCAGGGGCACGTAGGGAACAGGAGACCTGAGGCTTGGCCAAGCCCTCAGCCCAGCCCTCAGCCTGCCCTGCTGGGGGGGGAGTCTACTGCTTGGAGTACCCTTTCTTGCCCATGACTCCAGCTAAAACCAATTGTTGTTTTCCAAAATAAAGCCTGAACCAACCCACCTTGCTGTGAGTGCCGCTCTTGTCCACAGGAGTGGGAGAGGGAGGTGGTCAGGAGGCCTCTTTGTGGGATGCAGAACCTGGAAGAGGCCAGGAGGGAGCTCTAGGGAGGGAAGCCTAGCCTTCTCCAGGCTCTTCTGGAAGAGACTTCTTTGTTGAATCTGGTTGATCCCTTGGCCTTTGCTGTAAATGTCCACATCGGTCACAACAGCCCCTAATCTTTGACAGCACTTTACAGTTTATAAATACCCCATTCTAATTCATCTACACAACAAACGCTGTGAGGTAGGCAGAGTAGGCTGTAGATGGTATTATCAGGACAGAGTTTAGTTTACTTACCTGAGTTTACAGGAGGTTGGCATTAGGACTACTTGCAGGCCTGGAGAGACCAAGTAATTTGCTCAACTAGAAAGTGACAGAGCTGGGATTCAAACCCAGGACTATCCAATTCCCAAGCCTATACTTCTCTTCAAGGAGCCCTGATGGTGCAATGGTTAAGCTCTTGGCTGCTAACTGAAAGGTTGGTGGTTCGAACCCACCCAGAAGCTCCAGAGGAGCAAGACCTGGCGATCTGCTCCTGTAAAAATTACAGCCTCGGAAGACCTATGTGGCAGTTCTACTCTGTCACATAGGGTCGCTATGAGTTGGAATCTACTTGATGGCACACAACAACAACATACTTCTCTTCAGCCAGGCACGTGGCTTCTTTTTGTGGTCAGAGATGTGTTTTCAACATCTTCATTCTTTCTGTTTAAGCCAGAGACCATGGAGTCCTGATTTTCCCATCATTCAAAGGTCCAGAGTCCATTCTCAGTAGTCAGGTGTGTCACACCACGATTTCTAGAAGCCAAGATAGTAGAGGACCTGGCCTTGATTAGTGGGCTTTTACTTGCTCCACTCACAGTCACACCCACCCTGCCTGGCTCTTCGACACCCCCTTCCTGCCCTCTCACATGCTGAATTTATATCTTATGGAGGGCTTGAGTGTCTGTAAAGGGTGTGTGTGTATTCTGTATTTGCATGTGTAGGCGGATGTGGTGTACAGATTTTATGAGATGTGTAAATAAGGGGTTTGCCTGCCTTTGTTGAAACACAGAAGCTCTGAGCTTTAGGGCAGGAGCGGAGGGTTAGGACATGGCTGGACGGAGCCAGACATCCCCAACACTCCTGCTCCACTGCCACCACCATTGAGGTCCAGGCAGACACAGCTGTCGCTTAGCACTGGACTAAGTGTGGACAAGCCCTGGGCATGGCTGAGATGAGGCATTTTGAATAAGGGAGAATAGTCCGGAAACACGTGCAGAGTGTGCGATGGGTGGAGATAGCACAGAGCAAGGAGCACAGACCTAGCCCTGCTGTGGGGTCCCCTCCAGGACCATGTCTCCTCAGCCCCTGGACCCCCACTGAGGGCTTGTCTCGCTACCCCCCTAGCTACCCAACTCCATGGAGCTCTCAGACTAAGTCCAGGCTTCTACCTCCCACCCCCTCCCACCTAGTCCTACAAAAGGGCCAGGACTCTGGACATTGTCACAATAAAGGACTTTGCTCTTCGATGATAAAGCTAACGACAGCATTATCTAGAGCAGTGGCTCCCCAGCTATTTTGGCAGTGGCTCACAGTAAGAAATTAATTTTTATCACCACCCATGAACAAGAATTTCATAAAACAAGACCTGTCTTCTGCCCCCTGCTCAGGTATGACTCTTGACAAGGAGCTAGGAGGTGGTGTTAGAACCCACGGCAGAGGCAGCATCTGGTGAGAGGGACCTCTCCCACTGGGCCCCAAGTCAATATTTTTAATTGTGCCCCGCTGAAGCCGGCTAGCTTATCAGGTTCTGCCCCTGGACAGTGGGTGTGCTGGGGGCAGCCTTACCAGGAATTTCCACACCCTGGGTGTTTGATCAGGGAAAGGCAGGGACAGCTCCTTGTAGAATTCCCTTTCCTTTCATCCCCTCCCTCTCTCCCTCAATCTCTTCCTCCCTCCTTTCCTTCCCTCCATATTATTGTGATCAAGTAGTCCTTGGGTGGGTAGGCTGTTAATTGAAAGGTTGGTGGTTTGAGTCCGCCCAGTGGGACCTCAGAAGAAAGGCTTGGTGATTCTACTTCTGAAAAATCAGCCATTGAAAACCCTATGGAGCATAGTTCTACTCTGACATACATGGGGTTGGCACGAGTAAGAATTTACTTGAGGGCAACTGGTTTCCATGTAATCTCAAACAAAGATATCCCTAAAAAAAAAACCCCCAAAACAAAACACAAAACAAACAAATACCAAATCCATTGCCATTGAGTCTATTCTGACTTATAGTGACCCTATAGGACAGAGTAGAACTGCCCCATAGGGTTTCCAAGGCTGTAATCTTTCTGGAAGCAGAGTGCCACATCGTTCTCCTGTGGAGTGGCTGGTGAGTTCAAACCACCAACCTTTTGGTTAGCAGTAGAGTGCTTAACCACTGCACCACCAGGGCTCCTTTAAACAAAGATAAGAGCTGGAAATTTAATTCTCATTTAGATGAGGAAACTCAGGAAGGATGGAAGGTAACATTTCTTTGGGCAGACTTTGTGATTCATCACATCCCAATCCTCCATTAATCTTGTGAGGCAGGTATTAAAATCTTCACTTTATGGATGTAGAATTTGCCTAAGGCTACATAGTAAGTAATGGAAGTGGTGCCCTAATTCTTGGACCGGCTCTTTTGACGATACTAGATTTCTATCAAAAGCCGCCTGGGTGGTGCAAACTATTAAGCGCTCCATTACTGGCCGAAAGTTTGGCGGTTAGAACCCACCCGGAGATGTCTCAGAAGACAGGCCTGGTGATCTGCTTCTGCAAGGGCATAGCTTTGAAAACCCTATGGAGCGGTTCTACTCTGCATCTGTGCACATGGGCCATCATGAATTGGAATTGACTCTACGACAACTAACAACAGCTTTCTTATCACACATAGATAAAATTTTTCAACTTCTTTTTTATTTGTTTTTAAAGAGGTAATTACTGCACATTGTACACAATTCAAAAGGACAAAAGGGCTTCCTTCCTCACCAGTCACCCAGTTTCTTTCCCAGAGGGCAACTAATATCACCAGTTTCTTGTGATTCCTTCCAGATAGAGTTCGTGTAAATATAATTATTTAGGTACATACATATATACATTTATACTTATTTTGCACAAAGTGTAGTGTATGATACGTTGTGTTGTTAAATAGTTTGATTTGACATTCATTTGACCCCTGTTCTTTCCATGTCATTATGTAACTGTTCTTTTTCACAGCTGCGTAATATTCCACTTAAGGATGTGCTATAATTTATTTAACCAGTCCTCCATTGGTGGGTCTTTTTAATCTTTTGCAATGACAAGAATGTCACAATTAATAATAACCTTGGATACATGTCATATCATACATGGTGGGGATATCTGAATAATCCTTCTAAGTGGAATTGCTGAGTCAAAGTGTATGTACGTTAAAATTTTTGATAGATATTTTAAAAAAAAAAGCTTGAATTCTAATGGGACTGAATTTTAGGTTCCTACAAAATCTGCATGTGTAGAAGGCCCATTTTTTACCATTCCAGATGGTCATTATTCCTTACGTCTCTCATTCCCAGGAATATAATGAAGAATCCTCTAAGCATTTGTGGACCATTCTTCATACCTTGTGGTTCTAAGGTTTTGCCGTGCCAGCTCAAGATGATTTGAGCTAAGATGATCTATGAGGTTCTCTGCAGCAGGGGGATTCTCAAAGTGTGCTAAGGATGAGGGGTAGACAGACCAGAAAGTAGGGGGCTAGGAATGGAGGAGGCCAATTGAGGAGTGCAGTAAAGTGCAAAAGTGCTCTTATGTTAAATGTACAGCTCGATGAATTTTTACCTATGTTCACGTCTGTGATACAGAACATTTGCTGCATCACAGAAGCATCCCTTGGGCCCCTTGCCAGAGTACACTTTTAAAAATACAAATCAGATTTAATTACTCTTCTACTTAAAGCCCTTGAATGTGGACACCCAAAATGAAACCCCCAGTCCTGCTCTGGCCGTACCTGCCTCTCTGGCCTCATCCTGGCCGCTCTATCCTGTGTTCTCTCTGACCCAGTGGTGCTGCTTTTCAGTACTTGGCCCACATCATGTTTCCTCCTGCTCAGGGCCATTGCACATGCTGTTCCCTCTGCATGGAACACGCTGTGTTTCCTATGAGCACCCGGGAGCTTCCTAGTCATTCTTCAGAGTTCAGCTCAAACGTAGCTTCCCCAGGAACATCTTCTAGACATCACAGGCTGGATGGGGTAATTCCATAATAAATTCTCAAAGTCCCCTGTATTTTTTCCTCATAGATTATAGCTATTCATTCATCTGCAGTGGTATTTTATTAAGTCAGTCTTCCCCGCTAGACTGTAAGCTCCACAGGAGCATGCACTGCGTCACATCCTTCTGGCTCTCCACTGATTCTCCAGGGCCTAGCAGAGTGGCAGGCACATGGTAGATGGTCAGTACAAAATTATGAAATAAAAGAATGAATGAGCCATTTCCATACTGATGGTCATCTATTCTTTTTCTGCCATTTAAATCCTTTTAAATTCCTTCCTTTTGGGGAGATAGATCAATTTGTTCAGTCCTTTTCCAGAAACAGCTGGTGTATTGCTCTTTAAAAAGGTCTCTTTGCCACATGGCATTAGTGAGACTCAGGATTACACCCAGTCCTACAGCAACAGGGTGGCTGTCTTTAAGTGTCTGGGAAGGGGGTGGGGCAGAGCTTGACCTGTAATGCCTAGCAGTGTGTGCCTGGTGCCTGGGAGTGGGGAGGAGGTTGGAGGAGGGGAAAACAA